CAATGTGAAGACGGAGGATGGGATATGGGTTTGATCTACAAATACGGATCTTCGGGTCTCAGCATCGGGAATCGAGGTCTGACAACGGTGATGGCTATCTATGCCATCCAGTGTAGCCTAGCCGACTCCTCGCTGAGCGAGAACGAGTGAACTTCGGGATCATAGTAAATATTAGATAAGACTACCAGATAACTGTATAATTTCATACCATGTTAATTCCCTATAGATTGATCGTATTTGGGCTGCTACCACCGACTAGAACCGAATTCCGGTGATGAAAAAGATGCCTTTAGGCGGGGCTAGTGTAACCATCGGCCGCCAGTTCAGCAAAAAACAGAATTCATTCGCAGCCAAATACAGCTTGAGATAGGCGTAAGAAAACCGAAGGGAAGGACAAATGACAGGTTTGCTTACTCTAAGCTGAAAATTCCTGTCTGCAGCTGCTGTCAGGCCTTTGTCGGCATCATTTAGGCTTGAAATTTCAAGAGAAAATTTCAAGACACGTCTACAGATGATACTGTCGCGACTTCTACGAAGGACACGTGCTGGTCGCGGTGGTGAAAGAAGCCGTGTTTGTTTGTTGATGTCGCCAAACAACCTTTGCCATCGACCACTACGACGATCTCGACCTTGGTTTTTTTACGCAGTTACGGTCTGATTCTTCATGGCTGCTCATCTGACACGACTGTCAGCTACCTCGGGCGCTTTCGTTCTTGTGTATTGCTGGTCGGAGTGCTTATCGACAAATTGGTATTGCAGCTCGCCCGACGAGTGGCCAAGGTTTGTAAATTCTTTATATCAAGGTAGAACTTATTGACAGACACACTTCTAGAACTCCGAGAATAACTTGGTTTCTCCCGATGGTGAATTGCTAATGTTAAGCATCACCTCTGCCGTTGACGCATGATTATACCGACATCTCAGATCATGCCGTAGCATGAACATCTGACTGGCCAACGATGCTAACGTCTTCCTGCTGAAGCTATGATGGCGTTCAATTGTATTCCCACAAGAGAGACAACTCTTCATTCATCTCGATAACAAGATTGTCTCACGCAAATATTACCTTTGTCGAGTCCTCCCACTCCTGATGGAAGTATCTGCATAACATAGCAAATTCTGACCCAGGACTCAGACTGCTGTAGTCAAAAGCCGGAGCTGAAGTCTGATCTGTAAGCCAATTTTTTTCCATTGTATCTTGACCGGCGTGAATCAGTCGCTTACTAAGAGGGCGACAGATTACTGCCATTGCCAAGCTTTTCGACGAGTCGACCGTCATCGTAGCTTCGGTTTTTGCCGATACCCTTCCTTTATTAACGGAGAAACTACTTCAAAGTTGACTTCGCAGCGGTGTTTATATAGCCTGACTTTCGAATCCAACTGATCATTACGCCGAGACCCGAAGACCAACAAAAATCATATCTAAGAATTTCCTTTCCTCAAGCTGATACTATCTTTACACCCCTTTGGGAACCCCCGAAAGTTTTCTTTTCCTTTGGAACTCACCTAAGCGTAAGGAGAAGCACTACCCTTATGTGTGGTTCAAGAATGACATTTCTTGGTCCACTCCGGCTAAATATGGCCCTTATACCATGAAAATCCTTGCTCCGCCCTTCTCTTCGTAATGATGGACACTTGTGCCAGATAGTAGCCCGTTCCTGTTATCGATGGATGCTATCTTCGGGAACATTGCCGATTTCTGCCTTCCGTCCTACTTTTTAAAGTGCTCGAATAGCTAACCACTCTTCTACACCCATGGAAGCCCTGAAGTCCAGTACGTACACAATACAACTCGCACATGCTAACTCGCAAACTCGCAATACCCACGTCGACCTCTCAGGGGAAGACTGGAGGTCTATCATTTATACGTGCACACATCTATCTTGTTCGCATGACTATCTCATCACGGCCCCACAGGCTGCCTTGGCCACAACGGCAGTAATCAACGGGTATGACAGAGTCACCTCTTGCGAGTTTACCGGTACCGTCTAATAATTGTCAGTGGAAATTCACGACGTCGGGTGCAGGATGCTCTATTCGGAGTATCCGCAACGGATTATACTTGTCCGTCGATTTCAGAACGCTCAATGAGCAGCCGATTCGACCACGCCTTATTGCTTCATCGTTCCCTGTCAGCTGGGATGTTAAGCCGCATGATGCAGAGAATGGGGTATATAGGTTGGATTCCATCCCTGTGTAGTAATGCACATTCTGATTCTTGAGATCGATAGAATTCGATGGCCTGACAGCGAATATGTACTTAGCTTGGATCCCAACTTCAACGGTCCCGTTGAGCCTGTACATCGCCTTAACGAGCACCCAGGTTTTGGACTCAAAATCAGATCAGGTTTACCTTTCCAAGCAGGATTCAAATATTGATTCCTCGCAGCTATGATAGATCCGTGAATGTGAAGGTTTTCCATCACCACCACTACTAGCCGAGCCAGCAGAGGTGATGAACTCTGTTGAAAGCTCTGAAGGTGACATTGTCATTACGGCAACCATCACTACGACGGTGACGAAGGGTAGGAGAGCTATTGGTTGATGTATCCGTGCAACTGTGTGATATTAGTTCGTGAGGGTTAATGCATCCGCTTCGCCAGTCCGAGTTCTGTGTAGTTTTCCTAAGTACGTCTAAGAGTTTAATCCTATGTCACCACCTCAACTAGGGCTTCGTGCTAGCGATTGTCAGGGCCAAGCTTGGCGGCTTGCTATTTACGGAGAAACTGTACTTCGGTGTTTATATAGTCTGGTTTTAGAATCCAACTGATTATTACACCAAAAGCTGATAACAATTTGAGAATCTGATCAAAGAAATTTAATTTTCTCCTGCCTCGAACTGATATTATCTTTGACCCGCTTTGGAAACCCCCAAGAGTTGTCCCTCATTCTTTACAATCCGCCTAAATGTTAATTCCAAGTCATGGGGTAAAGTCAGAGCAAAAGGAGAGAACGCGTTCTTCAATGAATCTTTATGGATAGAGTGCTCAGGCAAAGACCACTCATAATCCCGCAGAAAAATGGCTGCCAGTGTTCTTTGCTCGTACATGGCAAAATTCCTTGCCAGACACTGGCATGGCCCGAGAGCGAATGGGAGCCATCCAGACTTCTGCCATCCATGTTCCAAAAATCTTTCGGGGATAAAGGTGTCGGGTGAGTTCCAATGTTCTTCGTCATGGTGAATAGCGTAAATGTTCACTATCAATGAGGTATACGCTGGAATAGAGTATTTCCTGAGTTGGAAAGGTCGATTCGATTGGCGGGGGACAATGTAGGAAGCGGGACTATTGATCCGCATTGCTTCGCGAATACAGGCCGTGAGATATGGCAGTGATGTCCCAGAGAACTGTTCGACGGTTGGATCAGTGTCGTTTCTAAGTACTTCCATGACTTCTTCTCACGCTTGCTGCTGTATATCAGGATGGCAGGGAAGATAATAGAATAATGTCGATATCGAACCAGCGGTGGTATCCTAACAAGGATAGAAAGTGAGTTCAATACATCGCGGAATGCGAATAAACCTTACATGTCCACCAATGAATAGCGTGATCATGTTATCCCGCAGCTCTCGATACGACATGGCAGGGTCCTTCAGCATGAAGGTCATCATGTCATCTCCCGGATTCTCCTTCTTATCAGTTAGGAGCTGCATGAACCTCTCAACCAATGTGTCAATCCCACGAATGAGCTTCTTTCGAGGAAAAGTACGTTCCATCCATGGGAAGACCAGATAAATCGGATTCGCAATGGCCACCATGACATCATTGTACTGTTGCACAAATGGACTGTCCGTTTCTATAGCATTCAAGTCGTGCCCAAGGACTGTCGAACCAACAGCGTCGAGGGCAAAATGCTGAGCATATTTATCCCAGAGCACGGTGCAGCGCTTTCCCACAATAGCAGAGAGGTTATGAGCAAGAGATGCAAACACTTCGACGGGCATTTTGGTGCTGAACACGTCGTTGATTAAGACGGACTGTTTTTTCCACTGTTCTCCATTGGACATGAGGAGGCTGTCAGAACCCACGAAACGCCATAAAAGAGAAGCGTCGTTTGGATTCTCTTTAGGAAACAAAGCAATATCATGGCTTATTTCATGGGCAAGCTTTTTATTGGGAGTTAGCGATGGTCTTCTAAGGCAAGTGAACGAAAGTTCACTGTACTTTGTAATTCAAGATATGTACCATCCAGCGGCCAAGTGCCCATACTAGAACAATGTGCTCATGGGCATCCCGGGAGAAAGGGACGACGAGTCTCTTTATCCGACGATCTTCAGGTTCTCCAGTTAGATAGCTCCAAAGGAGTGGGAGTATCGCAACACGGGGAAGATGCCTCAAGTGGGAAGGAGGAACTGAAATTCGGTAGCAGCACAGGAGCAAGAGAAATGCTGCAATTATGATCCATGTATACATCGAGAGAGGTGTGAATACGGCTTAATGATGAATCAGCTGCAAGTTCATTCAATATATTTCTGTGCACCTTTCTAGGCCATTGAGAAGCAACCCACGCATTAGTTACAGAACAATCAAAGCTTGAGAAAGTAGCCCATATTTAGATAGGCAGGCAGTGCTAGAATCCCACAGTCATCGAAGGTGATCACTCAAGATGAATGAGCACTCCTAGGAATAAATTCATTCCTTGATTGTAAGAACATTGTGCAAGCCAAATGTGAAAGCCGTTCTTTCACAATGCTAACTTGAATACTAAGTGTTCCAGCCTCTGTCTGGACGCCGAGTAAGTTGTCACTTTCTGATGGAATTGAAGCAATTCTGATTCAGAGATGGAATGTAAAACTATGATTCTCACCCCAAAAACGATGAAGAAGTGGAATCTTTGAGTGACCGCTGATGCCAAGACAATGGACAGTCGGAACGAGAAAATGGTGTGAACGTGTTTATCTGTGTGACCCAGTACAAGTCAATATTCAGCGTTAATCTGGCCTCTGACTGTAAGTATGTAAACAAGGCTCTGACATATTTCACTCAGCTCAATGGACAATCTCACTCCGAAAAAATGGTAACTTTCAGTGGAAGCTGGGCCCCTTCCCTCTCTTGACCTCGGATCATCTGCTTGATGGTATTACCCCCGACATGGTAGAAATCGAGAATGACTCCTTCTGCTTCTGCAAATGAAAAATTACGAACGATGGTAGATACCACAATCTGTAAAAATCATTAGAGATAACATATGCTGCAAGATTTAAATGTGACCTTGAATTCGGTCAATGCTACACAGATCAAATTGAGACGCTGAGCTGAGACAACCATTAGCGGCTCACCGAATGTATGTCCCAGACAAACCTTCGACCTAGAACAGGGTCAGTCCGCTGTGAAAGAATTAAACAGCACCTCACCCATCGCCGAACGTAAGAACACGTCCTTGAGCTCGTACCCAGTCCACGGACTTTGGAAGCATGCCAGGTTTAATCCATTGGTCTGGATTGAACACATCTGCATCTTCACCCCATATCAAGGGGTTGCAATTAATCCCATCCCGCACAGGGATGTCTATCAATGTTCCGGCTTGGACTTTGACTTCGTATACATTGGTTCCTTTCAAGGGAACTTGAAGTGGAATTATGTCATCCTTCACGGCCTGAATAGCACATGAGACAAGAGACATGTCTATCATAAAAAGAAATGTTTACAATGCGACTGATATCTGTCGGAACGGCCTTAGTCTTCATAACCTCCTGCATGACAGCATCGAGATATGGAAGCGAAGAGTTGATGAGGTCCTCAAGAGTAGGCTTACGCCCGTGAACGACTTCGAATTCTATCAGTTCTGTGTGCAACCGTCTTTGAATACTCGGATTGTGAGCCATTTCATAGAAACATTCCTTTGAGCGAATATAAATTATGTTGAAGCGAGCAGAGAACCAAGCATACAGTGATAGTATTTGCTGTTGTTTCCGAGCCCACAAAAAGGATACCAATGATCAGTCATGAAGTTAAAAGCTTGTCGTTCTGAGTTCAGAAAATTTGACTCACCTGTGCCACAGCGATGTCCGGTGTAATCTTGTTTTCTGCTAAGGTGATGAATGAGCTGACTGATTATAGAAGAAGAAATAAATTCCATACAGAGAGAATTCAGCAGTTGTGCATGCATCCCAGCGGCCTCCTTGTCTGATAACACATTCCTTGCAATGACTCTCAAGGAGTAGCGAAGATCATCACACCAACGCTTCGTCACTTCATCAGTGAAGGTAGGCAAAGGATAATATGAAAGCGAGAAGCAAACGATGATAGGACAATATCGGATAAATTGCCAACAGGAGAGTTTGTTATCTTGCAAAGGATGGGATTATCGCTATTCGATGTGCTAAGGTCATGCATACGTAAGTCTATGTGCATCAGTGGTCATGTCGAAAATGAGGCTCTGGCCTTCTAAATCCTGTTGCCATTTATCCCTGAGCTGCTGCCAATCGAGATGATTAGTAAAACTGAGGGTCTGCCAGAGACTGCACTCACTCTTTCCACCAAGTCAAAGAAGACATTGGAAATGTCTCAAATAGACTGATTTCTGTAAATTGGTCAGGCACCATTGGATACCAGAAATGATGAGGAGGAATTGTACGTGAATGGCACACTCAGATATTTGCGCATCTTCTTGTGTTCTTCCCTTATATGCAGACGTGAGAGAAAACATTTATTCCTGAAGCTCACCTACCTTCAGCACAAAAAAGACGGCAGACAAACTAGTGAAAGAGCACAATGAGAAAAGGCAAAGTAGTGCATAGCAAGAGCAAACCAAAAGCTCAAGGGCGACCCTATCACTTGCATTCCACTTGAAGTTCTGACTCTGAAGTGCATGGTTGAGACCTTTCAGGTCACTGATGATGAATTGAGGTTCCTGCATTGTGAGTTCAGTAATCAGTGCTTTATGCATGAATGTAAGAAGTACAAAAGAATAAGCATTAAGTGTGCCATCAAACAACTTAAAGCACACTGAAGAGCATGTGAACATTTGCACCCTAGTGCCAGGTAGCCGACTTTTGATGGTCATATGCCAGCCTCGGCAATAGTGAAAGGAGTTTGTCGGTACGTCACAGCCACTGGCACGCCATCTTCGATCATCCCCTGAGTGACCTCTTAGATAGAACAACGATTGAATGCGTAAGTCATGAATTCCACGTATCTACCTCAGATTCTGATAACTTTCAGGATATTTTCCTATTTGACCTTTACGTTAGCATCCAAATTACTCACTCTGAGGTTGAAGATCACCTCATTCTGTGATTTTGTTATAGATCCGTGTTTTCTTGATATTCACAGGACATCTCGGATATCTCCTGAGCTGTACAATACACAAAACGTCGAGGCAAGTTACCATCACGACATGCCATCCAGATGTCTCAAGTTATTAACCCACAGCTCATTTTTAGGTCGATTCCAGAACACCAGCCTGAGCTGGACAACTTTGTCTGTCTCAAAGATGAGTCTATAGACACTGACATGGTCACTTTCGAAGGCGGGATTCTTGTCGAAATTCTGGTGCTCAGTTTAGACTCCTACATGCCCTACAGATTGTTCCTTGAATCCAACTTGAAAATCCTGGAGGGAACTTATAAAAAAGCACGTCCTTCTCAACGACGTGTCAGTTGGCATCTCATTATGTGATATATTGTTGACGCATCTTAGGGGAATTATGGAACCTGATAGCGCCAAATTGACTGATGAAGGATATGATCTCACTATTGGAGTCAATGTACTTGGTTAGTATCCTCGTGTAATCAATTTCCTATTGTTAATATTTGTGGATTCTCACAGGCTATTTCCACTTCATGAAGCTTTTTCCAGCATTACTAGCAAGGCGTGCAGAACTCCGATGGTCCTGTTAAGGCCGAGGCTGTTAACACTGCATCTACCGTGATACTTCTCTCCTACAGGTGAATCGCTGCACTTGACCGAGTTTTGCCATATGTATGCATGTCAACTGCGGATGTTCAAGAGTCTCACGGGGACTATTGATTATATCTCCTCAATCCTGGTCTGTTTTCTACTACACATATCATGCATCTATCAAAGTACAAACAGGAAATCTTGCAATAGAGCTACAGTGGACTTTTGGGGGATTGAAGCACTTCTTGATCCTATGTGATATAGTATGGCACGTCCTTAATCCCAACTAAATTTATGCCTGTTAGTCTCAAATTCTGGACCCAGCCCCATATGGTGCATTAACGCAATTGTATGTAGGAACATCTGTGGAAGGCGTGACTTTCAACGCAAAGGTATTCTCATTAGATGAAACAATACACGCACAAGTTGTGGGTCCACATCTACACCGTACATGGCTTCAATGGACTGAATTGTATTGATACAGATCCCTAGACCTCAGTCCATCATGAGAGTAATGCATAAAAACTCTGCGGTCCTATCAGAACAGAAGTACAAGCGACCACAATAGAGATATTTGGATCATTCGGTCAGGGCATCACTGCCCAATTGTCACCTCATGTTGGTGTTTATCATTTTCCGAGTCCTGTGTATACAGGTCTCAGTCTTATGCTGTCCTGAGCATTTCGGTGAGGGTGCAATTTCATCAAGTCCAAGGTTTCACCATGAATACGTCATTCTCTAGCACGTGTACCTTCGGTTATGTCAGCTTTGTCAGCTTGTATGAGATGTCCAGGCAGTGCAGAATGAACACTTTGATCGGTGAATTGCTCCGCTGGACCAGTTACTGACCAACATGTCCAATACAGGTCTCTCATTGTGAAGCGTTTGAGGTGGCTTGTCTTCCTGGTGCGACTGCATCAAGGTTGTAGCCAGATACAACATGCGCTGAGGATTCAACAGAGCAACCCCGAGATAATCTTCTATCTTCCATCCATTATAACAGTGCAGTACCCCAGAGCCTTAGTTCTGAGGGGGACGGTTACTATTCTTCTTGTCTTATAGAATGTTCGGTCAATATGAACTCCAAGGCTTAGCTCAGGGAGGTCTTATTGCCGGGCGGCGGGCGAACCTTCATTCAATCGTCAAATTATAGCAGCATCTTATTTAAAGCTGGGAGTATATCACTGAATCCAAGAGCCACAGTTCTTTCTTCACATGGTCGCATTAACTCTTGTAATCGCATTGCTCCTTGTAAGCTCTCTGCTTTATCGATGGTTCAGACGTCCGTCAGTCAAGTACGTCAAGGGACCACCATCAGCCTCTTTCTGGCTAGGTAAATGATCATACTTTGGTACAAACATGGGCTCATACACGATACCCATCAGGCCATGAACGTGTTCTCTGCAATCAAGATAATGCTGGTGATCTTGAAATGAAGTGGCATAGGGAATATGGCACACTTTATCATGTTGGGGGCTGTTTGGGGGTAATCAAGCACTCTATCTCTCATGGTCATAGTTAACTCAGCGATTTTTCAGCAAGACGTCCTGGTAGTGTGCGACCCCAAGGCTTTCAAACATATTTCCACAAGTCACAACCTTATCCAAAATCGAAGGATACCACCTTCATCCTGAATCTCTTCATTGGCCAGGGGCTTTCCACTGTTGTTAGTGAGTGCTCATCGTGTTCAGTTTGCACACAAAGACACCTAGCACATTCAGATGAAACTCACCACCGCCAACGCAAGATCCTGAATCCGGCATTCTCTCTTACACAGCTCCGAAAATACGAGATTATCTTTCAGCAATGCTCTGACAAGGTAGGTGCATCTGCCCATCAATAAATGCGGCAATGTTCGGAAGCTTTCAGTGATTATAGCTTGTGAACGGGATCAAGAGAACTGTGACTGGTACAGGTGAAACCATCAATACTCTTGATTGGACAAGCAAGGCTGCCCTAGATGTAATTGGGTTAGGTGAGGGCCAGTCATTTCCCCTACTCTCTCTTTCACTTAATATGAAATCCCAAAGCCTCTTTCCAGTATGATTTCAGTTTGCTCGATGGTCAAACAACGGAGCTAGGGCAAGCAATGAAGCATCTTTTGTAAGATCTGTTTCTTTATTTCAATGGTTACTGCATCTAACATCGGACTTCAGAACTGCTTCACAATCCAATACAATGGCACTAGAATTTGTTCTTTTAGCTCTGATCCGAATGCTTCCAGATTCGATCCTAGGACTCTTACAGCTGATCTCTACCCGAGAGATTCGTTTACTTTCCAGCATAGGAAATGTTGCCAAGAAAACTGTGCGAGAGGTCATGGCTAGCCATAACGAGGTACAGATACCAGGTGAAGACAAAGATGTCATTAATCTCCTAGGTAAATTTATTGGTCCCATCTGATAATACGCCTATGAACATGACTACATGACAGTTCACTCAGTAGGAAAAATGCAAGATGATGAAATCGAGGCACAGCTAATGTTTGTAGTCATAGTCTTACTTACCCTTCTTCATCCAAAATTTTGTGTTCCAGGACCTTCGTTGTTGGCGGGCACGAGTCGTTGAGCACTAGCCTATCCTGGTTGTTATACGAACTTGCTGTGCATCCTGAACATCAGTCCATAATTCGCGCAGAGCTCAAACAGTCAAACGACTATGACTTGATGCCATTCTTGAATGCAACTATCAAAGTGAGCTTAGTAGCTACGTCGAATACCCATGTTGACCTCTCATAACAGGAGGCTCTCCGTCTACACCCAATTGTGCATTCCTTGATACGTACCGCTCCTCATGATGATGTCCTCCCTCTTTCAGGAGGTAAAACGCTTGCCATACCCAAGGGGCAGACGCTCATTTGTTTCGCTTACCTATACAACCAGTATGCTCTTCCCACATCACTTCAATGTAAATGTGATGCCAACTTTTTCTAGTCTGCCATCTCTCTGGGGAGACGACACGGAAGAGTGGAACCCCAGCCAGT